GAAAGGCAGTGCTAAGAAAGGATTTGGAAGGGTGAAAAAAAAAGAACAGCTGCCAACCTGAAAAGAATGGGGATGGCGAGCCTCAGAACTTCAGAAGGATAGTGTACTGTAATGGCTTCATTTACATTGTTACTGATCCACTTTTTTAAAAAGTCCAAAATCAGAAAGAGACACGGGATCCACAGCAAGGAACTCAAACCAGCAACAAGTACTCAGGGAAAAATCCTTGGATACACACACACACACACACACACACACACACACACACACACACAATAAATATTGGATGTAGGCCTAACCCTATATTATGACAATGTTGAAAATGAACATAGATTGTGATATTTTAAGTTAGTATTAGATATTAAGATACATATATAATTTTTAAAATTCTGTGACTCAATTGTTTTCGAAAAACTACCATACACAGTCAAAATCCTAAGAGCTGTATGTCAGGGACTAAAAAATAGGTTGCATTTTTATGTGAACAACTCTAATACTAGTAATCAATAAAGAGGCAATTATAATATTTATATATACAATTATGCTGTACTCTCACAGTTTTATTTTATTTATTTATGCATATGGGTGTTTTGTCTGCTTGTATGTCTATGTACTATGTGCATGCCTAGTGCCCCTGGGGGCCAGAAGAGGACACTGGATCCTCTGGGACGGGAGTTATGAATGATTGTCAGACACCATGCAGATGCTGGAAATTGAACCCAGGTCCTCTGGAAGGAAGAGCAGCCAGTACCTTTGACCACTGAGTTACCTCTCCAGCTCCAATATGTTGTAGTTCATTAAGACATTGCTTGTTTCAACAGTATCACAAAGCTTTAATTGCTTCCTAACCTTCATCTGTCCCTAGGACTTAAAGGATTTTGTTTACTTGGGATATTTTTTTCAGGCCTAGTATCTTCCTAATGCTGTGACCCTTTAATCCAATTCCTCATGTTGTGGTGACCCTCAAGCATAAAATTATTTTGTTGTTACCTCATCATGTAATTTTGCTACAGTTATGAATCGTGATGTAAATATCTGATATGCAGGATATCTGATATGCTACCTCAAAGGGGCTGGGACCCACAGGCTGAGACCTGCTGCTCTAGGGGATGAGAAGAGACTGCCCATAAGCACATATACAACATTCGTCTCTCAAGGACAGATATTTATACACTGCTAATGACAAAACACCTGGGAGATCAGCTGAAACAGCAGAGAAGTCTTGGTACAATTTTGAAATTATAGATTAAAAGGTTAGCCTTCAGACTCCGTGGCTTTCTTTCTCCCTTTTCCTGGTGAAGCAAACTACAAATGCAGCCTAGAATCCAGCTGGAAATGAGCAAAACAGAATCTGGAATTGCAGGGGATGGCCAATGGCTTGTGTCCTTTAGGCGAGTCTAGTCCCAAGTGCAGCAATTGCTCCTCGGGACAACCCGTGGCCCCCTTCCCTCACAGCTGACAAGCAGAAGTATGTAGTATTTCTTAGAAATGTATCGATCATGTTTATTGTGTTCTTAAAGCATCATTATGCCAGTAAAGGAAAAAGCATCTTCTTTGACAAGACCATTTTCAATCTTGGATCACATGTATATAGATCTATTTCACATGATTATATCCTAGTGTGTGCAATTTTCTGTTCGGATCTGTCCGTTTATTTTGCAACAAGCTGTTTTAGAGTTCCATTTATTCACTTAGTTATTCAGCAAGCATTTATTAAGGTACACATTAGGATTCAGGCACTATTCCAGGTACCACAAATACAGAGACAGATAAAAGCCAGGTCTCTGCCATTGAAAACTCTCAGCCAAGAAGAATATAACCAATAATTATAATGCAAAACATCATAATAAATTAATATTTAAAGGGCTCTGTGTGAACCCTCTTAATGACTTCATGTCTTCTTGTTAGATAAAACAATTTAATTCCTTTTCTTGATTATTTTTCATTATTACAAGCAATGCTACAACCAACACATTTTTTCTGTGTACATTTTTGTTAACCATTTTCTGCAGATAAATTTTTAGAAATGAAATCAGAGTCATACTTTATTCATATTTTATAGCTATTGATAGTCCTTCATGTAAGTATCATACAGCTAAACAAACTCATCAGTTACCCTAGGCATTGCCAATCATCCGACCAGTAGATTTTTCTTTGATTTTAATCAGCTGAAGCCTACTAACTGTTCTCTTAATTTACACTTCTTTAATAAACAGCAAGGTGGGATATTTTCACATAGCTGATTTTTTTTCTCCAGGGACAGACATAGTACTATATGCCCGAAACCCAGCACTCAGAAGACTGAGGCAGTAGGAACCCAAGCTCAAAGCCAGCTTGGATCTACCCAGTGAATCCCTGTCTCAAACCAACAACAAAAATGAAAATACTATTCTCCATTATGGGGTTCGTATTTAAGGCAAATCCAAGTGTCATCGGGCACTGTTCTAACGGCTTCCTCATATTTTTTATTTGTCTGTTTTCTGAGATAGGGTTTCATTATATAGCTCGGCTGGTCTGAACTCAAGAGATCCTGCTTCTTCTGCCTCTAGAGTGCTGGGATTAAAGCATATACCACCTTACCTGGCACCTTAATAAGCTTTCAGATGTGATTTCTATATTTTATAGCTTACTGTAATTTTTCCTCTTTTTTGTTCTCTTTGTTTAATTACCTCAAATCATACACCAATAATTTAACATTTTATTGGTCACAACTATTTTTTACTGTAGAATTTTTCTATAGGAGTCATCTTTTTTTGCTTCATTCTTTTTTTAAATTAATTAATTAATTTATTTATTTAATTAAAGATTTCTGCCTCCTCCCCGCCACTGCCTCCCATTTCCCTCCCCCTCCCCCAATCAAGTCCCCCTCCCTCATCACCCTGAAGAGCAATCAGGGTTCCCTGTCCTGTGGGAAGTCCAAGGACCGCCCACCTCCATCCAGGTCTAGTAAGGTGAGCATCCAAACTGCTTAGGCTCCCACAAAGCCCATCGCAAAATCGACGTTCTGCTCAGTCTCCATTTCTTACTCACGTAATTTCAATAAATATTTCCTATGTGCCCTGCCTGACATCAGTAACATATTAGCACAGATCATCTGAAACTTAGAAACAACGGGAGTTAAAGCACATTCTCCCAGGGCCACGTTAGGAACCCCATTAACTGCTTCCCTAGAGACACATATATTTGTTTGACAAGTGAGAAAACAAAAGCAATTCGAGTGATCCTTATCAGGTTGCAATAAAAACAAACGGACTAGCAGAGATGCAAGTGATCTGTTCTCTGGAAAAGATAACCCCAAAGTCTCCGTTTCATTGCTGCACTGCTCACTATAGGCTTTGGAATCTAAGTCGGCCATCTTCATCAAGTTCCTCATCCCTCTCATCTTTCTCAAACCTTTGTTCTTTCACCGCTCTCTCGGAGCCAGCCTTCCCACCTTACAGATCTCTTCCTGGTGCGCTAAAGCCAGGTTAGGTGTCAGTGAGCCTTCAAACCTGACTTCTGCTCACAGTTCTCCCACTTCTGCCCACGTGACAGCTCACTTCCAGACTCCTCTACTTTCTATAAACCATGAGCTTCTGTAAAGTCAACTGATGTCCAGGAAATACAAGCAAGTAGAAAACTTAATTCTTTTTATACAGAGAGCCAAATGTTGAACCAGAATGATGAGGTCCTAAGTCCAAGGCACAAGATGCTCAAAGCCTGAGGGAGTAGAGGAGCCCAAGCAGCCCACCCAGTATCTCCAGGAACATTTTACCATAAGGCTCGTTTTGGATAGATAGGATCAAACACTCAGGAGAAAATGGCACAGGAGACTGAGGGTGTCCCCAGTCAATGGACCCGTCTTGCCCCTTAGCCCTGCCTCTGCCAGAATATCTTGAAGGTCTTTGCTCATCTACACCATAAAGTGATCAGGATGATAAAGTGGGTGGGTGTGAAGAACCTCATCACAGAGCTAGGAGCGGAGCTCCTATGTGAGGCCTAGGGTTTCCCACCAGAACAACAACAAAGAAAGGGAGCGATGAAGTCCTGAGTGAACGTGTAGTGTTGCCATAAACATGGCCCTATCAAAGATCCCAATGCCTCAGACTCATGGAAGTAAAAAAAAAAATCTTCCCTAGCTATGGCTCATAGAAATGACAAAGTCTTCTCTGGTGGATGGCAAATGCTGACAGTGGGTGCAGAAAATGTCCACTGTAGCGTTCTTCCCCAGGTCCCATGTTTAGGCCTGATGGCTGCTCCCCTACAAACTGCACCCACTGAGATTTGCTAAACCTGTCTTCTTGATCAGTTCTATAAATATCCCTGTCTCCTCCTCTACCTGTATGTGATGACTCCCCCCCTCCTTGTTAAGCTCTATGCAATAACCCGCTTTTCTGGTCAATTCTGTATAACAAATACACGGAGTTTTGGGTTTTCTTTGTTTTTTGGGGGTGGGGTTGGGTGAATGCATCTCCATTAAAGAGCTCAGTCCACTGAATCTGAGATTTTCTAGGAGTCTTTGTAGTTTATCCTTTCTTCATCCCCTTGCCACCCCTAGTCAGGGTTCCAGGAACAAAACAAAGCAAAACAAAAACCTTATTTCTGATACCTGTCTAATAAATGTCACATGCCACTTTCATTCTCTCTGAATCCATTGTTCTCCACAATGAAAACTGAACCCCTGCTCTAGAGGTGGATCCATCCATTCAGGGTCCATCAATAACTAAAGAAGACAGGAACGCTGACGACACAGCACTGAAATTTCAAAGGGTCTCAGTGTTATCTTACAAGGGCAATGGCTTCAGATGGCCCCACATATGACCCCAATCTGCCCTACAGGAATTCCCCGGCCAAAACCAATTTGCCTTGGAGACTCAACTAGATGGTCTCTAGAGTCTCTTGGAGTTTGAACATCCATTGCCAAGGCCAATGGGCCTGCACCTGCGCAGCAAAGACTCTTCATGACTGGGTGCACAGGTTGGGCTGACAGCCCCATGAGGCAACAGTGTCAACTTGCTTACCTCCCCTACAACCTCTATGATGTCTCCAACTTTCAGCTCCAGCTCGTCATCATTCTGGGGTAGGTAGCTGAACGCCACCTGGCATCGGCGTCTCCGTCGCTCTCCTGGATAGGAAAAGCAAGATATTTAGATATGGTTCTTCTCCCACAGGCCACACTAAGGTTTTAAAGAGAGGCTTCCTAGGCATGCAGGCAAAGTAAGCCGATTTGTCTCAAATGTGCTTTCTGGGGCATGGCTAGAGGCATAGCAGCCCTGGTCTCTTAGAGAGGAGCTAGAAAGCAGAGCAATGCTTCTTGGTGTTTTGAAAAGCTGCTGGGTCAGAAGCCCATGGACATGAGAAACTGATCAATTGATACAGAAGGCAAAAAGCCTACCCCGGACCACTAGAGCACAGTGTTGCCTTAGATGCACTTCCTTAGATGGTGGCCCTTTCTATTTGTTGCTGTTGATTTGATATGAAAGCTGAGGTGATCTGCTAAAGAAACAAGAACGGTCTTCTTCTGATGCTAGCAAGGCAAAGAGCACTTCCCCCAAGTGTGCAAAGTAAATGAGAAAGTGTCCTGGCCTTTCTCTTACTAATGTCACCCTTTCAACACACTAGACCTCAGGCCTGATAACCCAAAGCCAATTTGATTTCTGCTATTCTTGGTACCACTTCAAAAGTCCCATGGGGTTCAACATAGCCATTTGCGCCCCAGGGGATGCATTAGCAAGATCCCTGGCTGTCTCCACAGAACAAACCCAGGCAAGGCAAGGATAAAAGTCAGAGCCATACTTCACTTAGAGGACAGTCAGGGTGACACCGTGACATTTACACAATGGGTCCCACCAGGGAGCCTCAGACTTGAAGCTGGTACAAATATAAATGCTACTGTTTACAGAACGTTCATACTGCCTATGTGCATCGTGGGCATAAAAACCATGCATGCGGGATGGCATGCAGCAGGAGTGGTAGGAGCCAGGGAGAGGTATATGAGGGCTAAGAACTGAGATAGGCATGGCTCATAGCTGACCACCTCACACCATCCCTTCATGCCAGTGCTTGGCCTAGAAAATCAACAGGATCACGACTTCAAAGAAGGGCATTTAGAAAGGCCGGCATTATTTCTGGATACTGCCTTTGGAGACTCTTTTTCTTTTCTAAGCTTTTCCTTGAAAAGGAAGTCCCTGTAGGGGTACATTAGCCCTATCCCCAGCATGACATCACACAAAAGGGAAGGTGTTGGAACTACATCTGTGGGCTCCCTGATCAATATTTTTCAAAAGCCCGTGACCTAGTTCTCGCTTTCATTTTTCTCTGTGTGTACCTCCCTAAGGAAGAACAGGCTTGACTACAAAGAGGAGGGCAGAAGTTCAGAATCAATATCTTGTCTAATCACATCTTCAGCTACTACACTAACGATCTCCACCTTTTGCGCAAAGTCACAAGTTACTGAATCTTATTCAGAACAGACTCAGAGCTCCCAGGCACATTCTAGTTTAGCAATGTGTCCTGTCAGCTGACTTGACAGAGTCACACAACCTTGTAAGGAGGGCCTGGCTCGGCATGGGCCAGAGGAATCCCACTGCATATTGCTTCTCTGAAGAACAAGGCTAGAAGACTGACATTTCAGTGCCACACATGCTGTCCCGAAGCTGGACATGAAGGGACACATCTGTAATCCCAGAGCCCAGAGGACTGAGACAGGAGGATCCTAAGTTTCAAGTCAATGTAGGCTATTAAGTAAGATTCTATTTCCAACACAAAACCAAAAAAAAACTACCACTACTGCTCTATAGCTCCCAACAATACAGAAGAGAAAGCAAATTCTGGGCATTGTAAAAGATACATAGTTCTCATTCTAGCAAAGAAAATCTGAGCAACAAGGCAATCATGGTTGTCCTCTCCTGCCCCCTGCCCCATATACATTCCTTAAGATGAAATTCTATGAGCTTATAAGTTTTCATTTTCTAATTTTTCTTACATTTTACTTCACCTCAGGGGCTGGAAGAATTATACATGCGCCACAGTGTGCACACGAGGGTCAGAAAGCTACTTGTGGAGGTGAGTTCTCTCCTTCCACCATGTGGATCCTGAGCGCTGAACTCAGGCCATCAGCTTGGGGGCAGGTGCCTTTATGCACCGAGCCATCTCACCTCCATTATCTAATTTTAGGCTAAAATGAACTCCCAAGACACAACTCTAAGCATGATACAAAATAACAAATGTCTGAAAACTGATAGAACCACAGAAACCAACTACAGACCAAGTTGACTTAGTGCTGAAAGCCCCAGAGGGTTCTAGCCGAAGTCAGGAAATTTAGATTATATGTAAGATGAAGTAGCGAAGTGGAACACTGTGCGCAGAAAGGCTTAAGCATGGAGATGTGCCGAGCAGGGTGGAACTTGGAGGAGGGGGAAGGCTAATCCAAATGAAGAGGGTATCTTGGGTCATTGAAACCTTACCACTCAGAACCCAACTTAAAAAATGAGTGGAAGGATAGTAAAACACATGTGAAATGAGAGAAAAGGGGGGGGGTCCTGAGGGTTAAAGGGCTAATCAGGAGGAACAGGAGAGAGGAAGTGGTACTGGATTGTTAAATCAAAACTAAGAGTCTATGAGAAAGACTTATGAAAATACACTAGTTAATGAACAAGTTTCAAAATACACATTTGTTGTATTTTTGTCCTGCATGGGTAGAGGACATGGCTTATCAAATGAAAGTCACAGTACAAGACATGGGATGCCTGCACATAAGTTATTGGTCAGGGAGGCCCCCAAATCCCCAGAACAATACAGACTAGTGTCTTTGCCCTTAATTATCCTCCATAACTAGGTGGTTAGACCCTTACTGCTGAAGGCACCACATACTAGCTGAAGATCATAAAAAAAAAATCAGTCTCACCAAGGAGAAAACTTGAGTTGACTAGCTTTCACAGTGCCAGGAGGTGTTATGCAGGCTGCTGGGGAGGAGAGGCATGGGTGCTCTTACCCCGTGCTGGACTCTGCATATTGTGATGCTGACCTACCAGGAGAGATGTGTCCACTGGTACGATGGCAGCATGGCTGTTATGAGGAAGCACAGCAAAGCCCCTCCTTTCTGACTGTATTTGAGGCCTGCTCCACAGTAGGAATTCCATACCTGGGGAAGTCACAGGCTCTGCAGTAGAACCTGCTGTCTTTCTAAAGACTTGGGTTATGTTCATAGCTCTCAGTTGCACTAAAGCTTGGTCAAGCCAGCCGGAATTCCACCTTGGATGATCTGCAGGCACCACAACTTACTTAGGAGCTACCACCAATGAATGATGGGGAAGGGAGGGTCATTATATTTTGAGAGTATGGCTATGGGTAGGTTTCCCATTCCCCAGTGGAATGTCCGCAACAGACATGCAATATGAGAAGCACTAACTGAACTTAGTGCATTGACATGAATTTGGGAGAGGGGTTGGGGGGCATGGAGAGTTGGAGGCAGGAAATGGGAGGGTAGATATGATTAGATCTCACTAAATTTTCAAAAAATTAAACTTATATGTAAATAAGGCTCGAAGATTAATAATACTTGCCACTCTTGCAGAGAACTTGGGTTCAGTTCACAGGACCCACATAGGGTGGCTCATGACCCCCCTGTAAAGTCAAGTCTAGGGGCCCCAACATCATCTTCTACCTTCTCAAAGACATGCATGTACCCATAGTACATATACATACACTTAGGCATATATATGTACATAAAACCACATGAATAAATATTTTTTAAAAGTAATACCTAGCCCAACACTGTACAAAATGCAAAGGCCGTGGTGATATATTCTTAAAGAAAAGACTATCTGCAACAGATTTAGGCGCTCGAATGGAATCATCTGACTTCACCTCAACCAAATCTGTGCATTTGGTTCGTATGGTACCAAAACAATGATGAATTCACTAGTCTCTCTCTGCCAGGCTAGTCTATACTTCTTAAATGGTTCTGAGGAGGTTACGTAACTGGTGCCATAGCATCCTGTAATGTACATTGTCAACATACCAAGAAAAGCCCTAGAGGGCACAAAGAAGGATTCAGAGGCAGCTGACGCTAAAGGTCACCTGACTTAAAGCAGGTGTGGCCATACTAATTTCTAACAAAACTGACTTCAAACTAAAATCAATCAGAAGAGACCGAGACGGTCACTTTATACTCATAACAGGAACAATTCATCAGGAGGACGTCTCAATCCTGAATATATACGCCCCCAATATAAAAGCACCTACTTATGTAAAAGAAATATTACTAGAACTCAAGGCAGACATCAAACCACACACACTAGTAGTAGGAGACTTCAACACACCTCTCTCTCCAAGGGACAAGTCAATCAGACAGAAACCTAATAGAGAATTAAGAGAATTATTGGAGGTAATGAAGCAAATGGACTTAACAGACATCTATAGAACATTCCACCCAAATAGGAAAGAATATACCTTCTTCTCTGCAGCTCATGGAACCTTCTCAAAAATTGACCACATACTCGGAAACAAAGGAAACCTCCACAGATACAAAAAAATATCAGTGTCCACCTGTGTCTTATCAGATCATCACGGATTAAAGTTAGAAGGCAACAACCACACTGCCCCCAAAAAACCGACAAACTCATGGAAACTGAACAGTCAACTACTGAACCACACCTGGGTCAAGGAAGAAATCAAGAAAGAAATTAAAGTCTTCCTTGAATTTAATGAAAATAAAGGGACAACATACTCAAACCTATGGGACACAATGAAAGCAGTGCTAAGAGGAAAGTTCATAGCACTAAGTGCCCACTTAAATAAAACGGAGAATGCATACATTGGGGACTTAAAAACACACCTGAAAGCTCTAGAAAAAAAAAGAAGCAGACGCGCCCAGGAGAAGTAGAAGACTGGAAATAATAAAACTGAGGGCTGAAATCAACAAAATAGAAACACAGAAAACAGTCCAAAGAATCAATGAAACAAAAATCTGGTTCTTGGAGAAAATCAACAAGATCGACAAACCCCTATCCAAACTAATTAAACGACAGAGAGAGAACACGCAAATAAATAAGATCAGAAATGAAAAGGGGGAAATAACCACAGACACAGAGGAAATTCAGAGAATCATTAGATCTTACTACAAAAGCCTGTATGCCACAAAACTGGAAAATACAAAAGAAATGGACATTTTTTTAAATAAGTATCATATACCTAAGCTAAACCAAGACCAGGTGAATGATCTAAATAGACCGGTTTCTCGCGAAGAATTAGAAAGGGTTATCAAAAATCTCCCTTCGAAAAAAAGCCCAGGACCAGATGGTTTCAATGCAGAATTCTACCAGAACTTCCAAGAAGAATTAATACCTATACTCCTTAAGGTATTTCACAATATAGAATAAGAAGAGTCATTGCCAAATTCCTTTTATGAAGCTACAGTTACCCTGATACCAAAACCACAAAAAGACCCAACCAAGAAAGAGAATTACAGACCGATCTCACTCATGAACATCGATGCAAAAATCTTCAATAAAATACTGGCAAACCGAATCCAAGAACACATAAGAAAAATTATCCATTATGATCAAGTAGGCTTCATCCCAGAGATGCAGGGCTGGTTCAACATACGCAAATCTATCAATGTAATCCACCATATAAATAAACTGAAAGAAAAAAACCATATGATCATTTCACTAGATGCGGAAAAAGCATTCGACAAAATTCAACACCCCTTTATGATAAAGGTCTTGGAGAGAATAGGGATACAAGGGTCCTACCTAAATATAATAAAAGCTATTTACAGCAAGCCAACAGCTAACATTAAATTAAACGGAGAAAAACTCAAAGCCATCCCACTAAAATCAGGAACACGACAAGGATGTCCACTCTCGCCATACCTCTTCAATATAGTGCTTGAAATTCTAGCAATAGCAATAAGACAACATA